AGAATTCCTCAAGAAATCTGGGATTCTGAGGGGGAAAATTCCCAGAAAAAAATGGGATTATGAGAGGGAATTCCCTAAAAAAATGAGATTCTGAAGGGGAAAATTCCCCAAAAAAATGGGATTATGAAGGGGAAGAATTCCTCAAGAAATCTGGGATTCTGAGGGGGAGAATTCCCGGAAAAAAATGGGATTCTGAGGGGGAGAATTCCTAAAAAAATGAGATTATGAGGGGGAGAATTCCTAAAAAAATGGGATTGTGAGGGGGAGAATTCCCAAAAAAAACAGGATTATGACGGGGAGAATTCCCAGAAAAAACGGGATGGGGTCAGGGCGGAATTCCCTAAAAAAATGGGATTATGATGGGGAAAATTCCCTAAAAAAATGGGATTTCAGGCCAAATTTGGGGGATTTTCCCGTGCCACAATTCCCAACCCCTCCCCATCCCAAATTTGTGGGATTTCTGCCCGGATTTGTGGGATTTTAACCCAAATTTGTGGGATTTTAACCCAAATTTGTGGGATTTTAACCCAAATTTGTGGGATTTCATTTGGGATTTTGGGAATTCCACCCAAATCTGTGGGATTTCATCCCGGATTTGTGGGATTTCACCCAAATTTGGGGGATTTCATCCCGGATTTTGGGAATTCCACCCAAATCTGTGGGATTTCATCCTGGATTTGTGGGATTTCATCCTGGATTTTGGGAATTCCACCCAAATTTGTGGGATTTTAACCCAAATTTGTGGGATCTCATCCCGGATTTGGGGGATTTCAACCCAGATTTGGGGGATTTCTGCCCAGATTTTGGGGATTTCACCCAAATCTGTGGGATTTCTGCCCAGATTTGTGGGATTTCATCCCAGATTTTGGGAATTTCACCCAAATTTGTGGGATTTCATCCCGGATTTGAGGGATTTCATCCCAAATTTGTGGGATTTTTGCCCAGATTTGAGGGATTTCACCCAAATTTGGGGGATTTCATCCCGGATTTTGGGGATTTCATCCTGGATTTTGGGAATTCCACCCAAATCTGTGGGATTTCAGCCCAGATTTGGGGGATTTCATCCCGGATTTTGGGAATTCCACACAAATTTGTGGGATTTCATCCCAGATTTGTGGGATTTCATCCCGGATTTGGGGGATTTCATCCCGGATTTGGGGGATTTCAACCCAGATTTGTGGGATTTCATCCCGGATTTGGAGGATTTCAACCCAGATTTGGGGGATTTCTGCCCAGATTTGGGGGATTTCATCCCGGATTTTGGGAATTCCGCCCCGATTTGTGGGATTTCATCCCGGATTTGGGGGATTTCAACCCAGATTTGTGGGATTTCATCCCGGATTTGTGGGATTTCATCCCGGATTTGGGGGATTTCTGCCCAGATTTGTGGGATTTCATCCCGGATTTGGGGGATTTCAACCCAGATTTGTGGGATTTCTGCCCAGATTTGGGGGATTTCATCCCGGATTTGGGGGATTTCATCCCGGATTTGTGGGATTTCTGCCCAGATTTGTGGGATTTCATCCCGGATTTTGGGAATTCCACCCAAATTTGTGGGATTTTAACCCAAATTTGTGGGATTTCACCCAAATTTGGGGGATTTCATCCCAGATTTTGGGGATTTCATCCCAGATTTTGGGAATTCCACCCAAATTTGTGGGATTTCATCCTGGATTTTGGGAATTTCACCCAAATCTGTGGGATTTCATCCCGGATTTGTGGGATTTCACCCACATTTGGGGGATTTCAGCCCAGATTTTGGGAATTCCACCCAAATTTGTGGGATTTCATCCTGGATTTTAGGAATTCCACCCAGATTTGTGGGATTTCTGCCCAGATTTGTGGGATTTCATCCCGGATTTGGGGGATTTCAACCCAGATTTGGGGGATTTCTGCCCAGATTTGTGGGATTTCATCCCGGATTTTGGGAATTCCGCCCCGATTTGTGGGATTTCATCCCGGATTTTTGGGATTTTCCCCCCGTTCCAGCACCGATCTCGTTGTGGTTGAGGTCGTAGAGTCGCTCGAAGGGGAAATTCTTCTTCTCGATTTTCTTCACCACCTCCTCGGGCAGCTTCTTGAACTGGCGCAGGGGACACATGGACTGCCACCTGCGGGACATTCCAGAGGGCTCAGGGAATTCCGGGAATGCCGGGAATGCCGGGAATGCCGCGGGATTTGGGGGCTCACATGCGCTTGTCGATCATCTTGCAGAGGTTGAGGGTTTTGTCGGTGAGCTGGGCCCAGCCGCGGTTCAGGACGATCTCGAAGATCGCTCGCATCAAGCGCCCGGCCGACTGCGGGAACGGGGCGGGAATTCGGGAATAAACACAGGCGATTCCCATTCCCGAATTCCCGCTCCTATGCCCAAATTTCCGTTGCTGAATTCCCATTCCCGAATTCCCGTTCTCAAATTCCCGTTCCCAAATAATTCCTGTTCCCAAATATTTCCCGTTCCAAATTCACATTCCCAAATTCCCATTCCCAAATAATTCTCATTCCCAAATCATTCCCAATCCCAAATCCCCATTCCCAAATTCCCAATCCCAAATAATTCCCAAATTCCCATTCCCAAATTCCCATTCCCAAATAATTCTCATTCCCAAATCATTCCCAATCCCAAATCCCCATTCCCAAATTCCCAATCCCAAATAATTCCCAAATTCCCATTCCCAAATTCCCATTCCCAAATAATTCTCATTCCCAAATCATTCCCAATCCCAAATCCCCATTCCCAAATTCCCAATCCCAAATAATTCCCAAATTCCCATTCCCAAATTCCCATTCCCAAATAATTCTCATTCCCAAATCATTCCCAATCCCAAATCCCCATTCCCAAATTCCCAATCCCAAATAATTCCCAAATTCCCATTCCCAAATTCCCATTCCCAAATAATTCTCATTCCCAAATCATTCCCAATCCCAAATCCCCATTCCCAAATTCCCAATCCCAAATAATTCCCAAATTCCCATTCCCAAATTCCCATTCCCAAATAATTCTCATTCCCAAATAATTCCCAATCCCAATTTCCCAAACTCCCAAACTCCCATTCCCAAATAATTCCCAATCCCAATTTCCCAAACTCCCAAACTCCCATTCCCAAATCATTCCCAACTTCTCAAATCCCGCCTTGGCGGGCGGCTCCCGCTGGGAATTCCCGCAGAATTCCCACGGAATTCCCAGGGAATTCCCATGGAATTCCGGGCTCACCTGGGTGACGTAGACCATGTCGGCCATGAGCGCGAATCCCTCCAGCTTCAGCTGCGAGATGAACGCCTGGAGCAGGACGTTGATCTGGGAATGGCCGTGGGAAATTCTCATGGAATGTCCTGGGAAAGCCGCCAAATTCCCAGGGAATTCTCCTTTCCCTGCCTCGGAATTCCCAGGGAATTCTCCTTTCCCTGCCTCGGAATTCCCAGGGAATTCTCCTTTTCCTGCCTCGGAATTCCCAAAGAATTCTCCTTTCCCTGCCTCGGAATTCCCAGGGAATTCTCCTTTCCCTGCCTCGGAATTCCCAAAGAATTCTCCTTTCCCTGCCTCGGAATTCCCA